TAGCTTGCCTATCTACCTAGCTACTAGTAGAGGTTAGCTGCTCCATCAGTTTAGAGGAGTTTGTCATTTTGCAGATGCTCAAAAGAACCAGTGACTTCGATTTTTTTTTCATTTTATAACAGCTGTGTAAGCTGTGTGTGATCGACAGAGTATATTTGTGAACAAGTGCATGAGCATGACTCAAATGAGTAGAAATAGGCTTCTTATTCGAGTTTATGTTTCCCCCTACTTGGTGCATCATTTTTGCCATTTTCCAGTTTTTGCAATAATTTAAAAATGATTGTTGCCCTTTGTGTTATGTGTAAATTTCATGATGATTGGATCAAACCGCTGTCCCATATATTGTTACTGGGGGGAGGGGAGGGGTGGAAGCACCTGAATGCACATTACATTGCAGTGCATGCTGAAGACTGCAGTGCAGCGCATTGTGAAATGGACTAATATTAATAGAAAATCTAAATAGTTGGTCTGACCTGCGAGCCTTGTGTTTCACAAGTTTCACATATGGGCTCTAGAATGTAATTCCTGCACCAATTAAGGTGGAATGGAAAATTCAAGCACAAAGATAGGCTCTACTAGACCATGTGTGTGTGAACATTATGTGTGTAGTGGTGTGTATTAATGATTTGTTGACTATTGTTTAAAGATGTCATAGCAATGCCCTGCAGTGTTTTCACTCCTCTATCTGTACACTAAAATATATACATCAGTTAGCCATTCATCTGATGCCAGTGTCATAATTTTTGTTGACATGAAGTGGACAAAATGGAATAGGCCTCTTTTCTGGGTCATTTTTGATGATTTTTGGTCCATTTTGAGCCAAAGAAAATCTGGGTCATATGGGTTTCTGAACTTTGGACACCCTAAAACTGCCTTGGCTACTCAATGGCCACCCCTTTTTATAAAGGCCTAGAATCGCCTTTGCCGTTATATATTAAACAGTCATTTTGATCTATAGTGTCATTACCGATTTTAATAATTTAATGGCGGATGTATCAAGACGATCACAGTGTAGGAAAGCAAATTCCATTCCAATGTCTCTGGCTTTGAATGGGCCTACAGTATGTAGTTACAGGCTCAATTACTTGTAAATTAATTGACCCAAGGGCAAAACTAAAGAAGCAAACACCGGAAAGCAAACATGTCTTGGCTGGTCGACTACATGTGAGGTAAGAGAAAAATGGTGCACATTTGATTTTTTGTCAAACTATCACTGTATCCCTGCTGTTGCTGCAGAGGAGAGCACAAGTATGCTGGGAAATCCCTGCATTCTCAGCAGCGGTAAGCCAAAGTAGTGGGCTTGAGGTGACGAGCCTACACACTCACATGACTCACATTACCTGCAGGGCCATCCTACCTACCTGTGAATCACTGGGAGGTCTAAAGACCAATTATCCCCCCACACAGCAGCTCCAAAACACCCGAGAATACGCGAGCCACGTCCTCTATCTGACCCGCCACAGAGGATACAGCAGCACGCAACGGGTCACACAAAGCAAAGCGACCGCAGCCATTCAGGCCCACTCTAAATGAACGGCCGCCACAGCAGCTGCAGCTGTGACCACACCATTACCTGCTGTCCTTTGATGGGCCAACCACAGTTTAGATTGAAATACGGCAGCAGACAATAGCAGTAGGAGAGAGGGAGGGAGGACACAAACGGGCCGGCGCTCAGGGGATCCGGTTTCATGCGCTGGCGGGCCGGGCTGGAGGGTCTGAGCCTGGGAAACAGGCAGAGAGAGGGGTCCTGTGTCAATAAGAAACAGTGGTCGGGCACAATGGGGCCAAACTCCGCACAACAGCACTGACAGACACTCACACAAAGGCGGCCCTCCATTCTCACACAGCCCGGAGAATGGGCCAGTGTGTGACTGCCCAGGGGCATGTTTGAACAGCACACACACTGCGGTAGCCATGTACACACTCACACACACGGCACAGTGTATAAACAAACACACACACACACACACACACACACACACACAGGCCTCAGATGAATGTGCATAACTGAACACAAGCACATACAATTACAATCTAGAAACTGTAGTCTCTAAATCAGATATCAGCAGAGCAAAAATAAGTGTGAACATCTACACCTTACACCACAAGGGATCAAAGGGGAATTTCATCAATTTTTCAAAATTTCTGCATAATTCAGTGGTGGATATCTAAGCAAATTTGCTCAGATTGGTTTAATGTGAAATGGTTCATTGTAGAGAAACTTTACTGACTCAGATTTCTTTACAGTGGTAGTGATAGGAGCCAGGGGCCTTGATGTCTACGCAAACACAGTCATTTTATTAACTCTCCAAAACAACTAGTGAATCTACATATCTGCTGAATTTTTATATGCAATGTTGATAATGATAAAACAGGGGAAAAGCAAGTTTTCTTTGGGTAATATCTCACCTTACTACACCCTGCATCCTGCATGTACCTGTCTGCCAAAAATGGATTTAAGTCTCAGGCATCAGGCAGTGTGCTCATAATCATGTCATGTTCTAACTCTCTGTGAGGGAACTTTTAGAGGCATTAAACTCTTCTGATGTTTGGTTCCCATCACCACCACTGTAAGTAAATCTGACTCTGTGTGTTTCTTTAGAACGGAGAATTCCATATCAAAGCACCCTGAATGACTCTGTGTACACCTTAGTGTATTAATTACACAGATATTTTGAAAGAGCAGTGGAATTCCTCTTTAAGGGTACAAACAAGCAAATTAAAGTCCATGTATTGTAATTGACCCCAGGATGAGTAGCAGTGCATCCTGAATGTTGTGGAGGTCCTATAGCATTTATTACGTGCTCATGGATGTTTTGTTTAGAGCTCCGACTGTGAAAGTCTAAAAGAATGAATATAAATCAAGTGATGGGCTGCCATCTAGTGTCTGATTCTAAAACTACATAAGATCTCACTCTGTCTAATTATTAGAGAAATGTTGCTTATAAATTATTTCAGAATTCCTGTTCGTTTAAAGAATTATGCATATTCGTTAGTTGGACTTAATTCCACGAAGATAAGTAATGCGAGGTTTAAACAGTGCAAGCATCAAAAACCAATGTGAAACAAAATCAGTGGCTTTTACAATTTCACAAATCACCACAAGATGGCAGCACATGATGGCGTTTGCTGGAGACAGAAAGCAAAAACATGAAACAAGTGAGGATTTTCAGACCTGTAAGAAATTAATTAGCATTTCTCAATAGTTACACTGATTCTGAGTGAACATCCAACAGCATACATGACAGGGCCTAGTTACCCCATAATTCTGAAGCATCATCTTAAAAGGGAATTCAACTATACATACATACATATATATATATATATATATATATATATATATATATATATATATATATATATATATATATGTGTGTGTGTTTACAACACAAATATATACACATTATTTACTATCCAAAGTGACCAGTGAACCTACATGAGTTATATTGTCACTGTCGGAACAAAACCTCACATCTCGATTATTTTTCTGCTAATTTTTTTTATAATTCAAAAAATTGCCAGCAGCCCTCTACATTGTGTGTTAGTTTTTTGGGGACTGTTTTGCCTCATAATTCTCTGTACCTCCCCATCATGAGTGTATTTATTACTCCATTTCATATAATAACTTTTAGAAGCGTTAAATGCTTTATTTTATGGCCAATTATATGGCCAAAAGTGTGTGGACAGCCTCCTAATCAGAATCCAGGTGTTTTAGCAGTACCCATAGACAAGCACAGCCAGTAGATTGGGTCATGCTGAAGAGCTCAGTGACTTTAAACATGGTGCTGTCAACGGATGCCACCTTCGTCACAAGTCAGTTTGTGAAATTTCTGCCCTGCTACATCTGCCCCAGTCAACTGTAAGTGTTTTTGTGAAAGGGAAGCATTTAGAAACAACGGCTCAGCCACAAAGTAGTAGACCATGCAAAAACGCTGAAGCACGTAGCACTTAAAAATCATTTGTCTTCTTTTGCATCACTCACTAGAGTTCCAATTGCTTTGGAAGCAACATCAGCATAAAAACTGTGTCAGGAGCTTCATGAAATGGGTTTTCAAGGCTGAGCAGCTGCACACAAGCCTGTGATTACTATGCGCAATGCCAAGCATCAGCTGGAGTGGTGTAAAGGACACTGCCACTGGTCTCCAGAGTGATGAATCTGGCAGTCTGATGGGTGAATCTGGGTTTGGCAGATGCCAGGATAATGCTACCTACCAGAATTTGGTAGTTTGGTGGAGGAGGGATAATGGTCTGGGAATATTTTGTAGAGCTTGGGCTCAGCCTCTTATTTCCAGTAAAGGGTAATGTTTAATACTACAGCACACTTTTTAGACGATTTTATGCTTCCAGCTTTGTGTGAACAGTTTGGGCAAGGTCCTTTCCTGTTCCAGCATGACTGTGCCCCATGTGCACAAAGTGAGGTCCAGAAACACATGGTTTGACAAGTTTGGTGTGGAGGAACTCCAGTGTACTGCACAGGCCTGGCCTCAACCCCACCGATGAACTGGAATGTCAATTGCGAGCCAGGCCTTCTTGTTCAACATCAGTGCCTGACATCTCAAATGCTCTTTTGACTATTGGGCACAAACCACTCTGAATGACTTTGTTTATATCTAAATCATTTAGTTATGATGAAATTTTGAAAAACTGGAATTCCCCTAAATGAGGTAGTGCTGAACACGATGTTTGCCCAAGATGATCTTTGGAGAATCTAGGCCTCAAAGTTCTTCTCACTATCTTTAATTCACTTGACACAAAGCCATGTTAGAGCAATAAAGTTTTATTTTCAAATTTTATTATAGAGGAACAGTAGTACAATTGAAACAGAAAGGAGAATGTATTCATCTTAAAACCTTGAAAAACATAAAAAGAGTAACCTGATTTGATTTGTGTTTGAGGTGAGCCAAAGGCCCGGTTTGCATCACTGTAAGAGAGTTGAAAAATACATCTTTAAAACGGCTTTAAAAAAATACAGCTGGAAAAAACCTTCATCTGTAGTGTTGTTGTTGGTTATGTCCATATACAGCATAAAATGTAAGGAGCGAGTCATCTCGAGTTCATCAGATACACAGACAAAATGAGAAAATGAGAAACAGAAAGAACCAACAGCGTGTCTGGGTGAACAAGCACACGTGTGAACAGAAAAGAGGATGGACAGGACAACAAAAGCCAGGCCAAGGTTTGAAAGGAGTTAACTGCAGCCGTGATCCATTATTTCAATTAACAATTAAATATCTATTCATATATATATAGATATATTTTATATACTATATATCCCTCCCACAGTGATCTGAAGGTAAATAATACAAACAGGATGAATATCTTCTATACAGCTCTTAAAATACACTTTCATCTGGAGTAAAGGGAAAGATAAACATACTCTGTCTCATTATAGCACTTCAATATATCCACTGCATATGAACAGAAACTGCTCTTCCTAGGTTTCAACCCACAATATTTCTTATAAAAATTTAGTAAGGAAATAACAAAAGAAAAAAAAAAAACATTGTAGAAAGGACAAATAAAACAATATATGCATCTAGGGTAAAGTGAATGATTTTGGAATAAAAACATTTAAATCTGACAATTACATACACAAGCAAGGATTTACACTAAACAGGTTACCTGGCTTTCTCATACATTAATTCAACATTAATTAAACAACAATTTTGGTAGGACAAATAGAAATTAACAGTCTTGATTGCATTTTGGAGTCAATATATATATATAAAATATTAAATAATGAAATGTTTAAAAAAAAGAAAAAGGTTCCGCATGGACTAAACAGTTTTCTTTTATTTCCATCCAGACCGGCTTTGGGGAAATAAGAAGCAGTAAGTGCGTGTCTATGTTTCTCCATAGAGCTCCACTTTACATTAACATAACCAAAGTGTTATTAACTTGGCAGACATAAAACAACAAAGTCAAAATAAAATGATTCTAAATAGTATTTTTTTTTGCACTAAAATGGAGTCTTTCACAAAACAGAACCTCAAACAGCCCAATCAATCAGCATTCTTCACCATTACCTTACACACACCATTCAAGTGATTATCAGTATGCTCAGTACCTCTTCACACCAATTCAGGAAGGTCCGAAACTTTGGGTCATTTTTACATGGTCTGCCGGTAGTAAAGAAAATAAAAATGGTATGTGTTTGTGTGTGTATGTGCATTAAATAAAAAAACAATGGCAAAGCATACCTGATAGGCTCTTTAGCACAACAGTGTTACATACAGAGCTGATTAGTATATCTGAGTTGAGTAAGCTTTACGATTATTAACATCATATACAGCTTGTAGGTCCAGTATTTCAAAACAAAAAAAAAAACAAGCGTTACAGCACCAAACGTTTCCATCATTTGGCAAAATTCAAGCTTTAAGTGAATGTCAAAATGCTCTATAAAGTGTTACTGTGATGCTGTGATTCATATAAAGCTAGCAATAATATATTCCCCTTATACTTTCTTTTTTAAAACTCTTTTTAAAACTTTCTGTTTTTCTCTGCTTTATGTTTTCTCTCAGCATTTTCAGTAGTTTGTGTCCTGCCAAATCTTGGTGTGCATTCTGCTTGGCACAATGGCACAGCCCCAATATAACTTAATCATAAATATGGCTGTGGTCAATTAGAGTCACAAAACAGATTTTTTTGGTTCCAAGATTTGTGCAGGGATAAAGGAAAGGAAATATAGCTCATAAATTTTCATGACAACATATCTACACAATTCGAAAGGAAATAAAATCTTCCTGTAGGCAACATCTCCACAATGCTCTGTCTTCAAAAATCAGAATCGCCATCTAAAGCTGTGGATGTCCGGACACGACAGGAAGCACAGCCTACAACGGAACTTCTCTCATCAGACAAGAAACAACAAAAACAAATTATATATCATTTTAATAAGACCATAATATCTTTCTTCATAAATTAAATAATTAATATTTAAGATGATTGGCCTATCGTAACTTAAAACACTGTACACCATCATACCCTAGAAAAGGAAGGAAAAAAAATACATCACTGAAAAACCTGATTTTCATAAATCATATCATCTCTTTCTCTTTCAGGCGGTAGGCCCAGACTCTCAGACACACAATAATCTTTACATCTCGGAGTCCCTATCTACCAAAGCTTTTTATTTTCTCTTTGACATGTACGTTACCGCGCAACCACAAGGTTTGTAGCACTTTGGAGTTGTTGATTGTTTCCCAGCTATTTTTTATGTGTGTTTTTTTGTTGTTTTAAGTTGCATTTAACTTAGTCCTCCTCGGGGGTGGCACCTGTGTCACCATCCCAGTTGGATTGGTCAATCTCGTTGGGCTCCTCTCCGTCACCCTCCTCTGCCATGTCCTCGTCTCCTTCAGCCGTCTCCTCAAAGTCTTCGTCTCGGGCGAACTCCAGCTCCTGCATGCCCACTTGCGTGGCCTGGTGGGAATCAGCACAGTCCACACACACCCCGTAGCGGCGTGAACCATGCCGGATCCCCACACTGGCCGCCAGCATGAAAATCTTCTTACAGACCATGCACTTGTACTTCTTATCCTTCTTGTGCACCTGCAAGAGGATGATGACGACATCTTGAAAAATGAGAAATATGAAATACGAAAAGAAAAAATAATTTACTAAAGAACGCTGTGTTCAGGTATGTGCGCAGACAGACCACAAAGAGGGGGGTCTTGCCCTTGAGGCCTTGCTCATAAGCTGCGAGTGCCCTCTTGGTCAGTGTATACAATAATTAGTCTTTTCTCTGGACATTCTTCAAGATCCATTTCAGTGAATAGACCTTGTGGTTTCGCTCAGGTTCCACAAGCTTCATCTCTCTTGGGCCACAACACTTGTGCACTATTGGCACTTAAAAGGTTTTCCCTTCATAACTAACTATGACCTGTCATGGATGCATGCATTCCCACAGTGGAAATACTGCTGATATAGCGCCAATTATGTCTCCTTAACAAAGTGTAACTTTACACAATGTGGTTATTTTGAACAGCAAACTAACAACGTAGGCCATAAGGTGCGCTAATGACCACACACCTAAGTTAAACTGTAAAAAGTAGGAAGTTAGGCAAGGCTCTGTGGAGCTCTTAAATAAAGTTATTACTCACCATCTCATAATTACATAGCATAGCAGGTAATGTTACAGCTTTGTATGTGGGACAGGGTTTAAATCCCTGTTCAGGCAGTAATACTAAAATTTTAGGCGGCCTTGGTGGGGGGACAAAAAAACAAAACACTACGTTCACTTTCCTTAAACAAGATTTTACTTCCTCTTTTGTTAAGAGTGCCTTCAACATGCTGTAAATTATAATATGTATTATTTATTTATTAATATATTTAATTATTAATATATTTAATTCACGTTACATTTGTCTGTGCACAAGTCTAGCCATGACAAACTCTTTTAATCTCTGAATGGTGCCATGAAAACTCTGTCCTTACGATTCTCCAAAGACTCTCCTTGCTGGAATTTATATGGGAGATATTTGTAGTTTTTGTATTTTGAGCAAAATGTGTTTGTGTCTGTCTCACCAGGGAATGTCTCTTGACGTGCTCTCGGCGGGTGAACAGCTTCCCACAGATGTCGCAGCTGAAGGAGCGCACACCTGAGTGAATGATCAGATGTCTCTTTAGTGTTCGCCGGTGCTTGGCAATGTAGTTACAGTGGGGACACTTTAGCTTATTCAGAGCAGTGTCGGACGTTTCAGCTAGAAAAGAAACAGAGAGATAAAGAAAGAGAGAGAGAGAAAAATCAGTGGGCATTTTGCACCAGTTACTCTAACAAACACCTGGTGAGCTGGTAATATGTAAAACGAGTGGACATAGCTAGCCTAGTTTTTCATCTCAGAGTCCATTTTGTTTGTGTGCTCTAGAGCTCGGTGGCCGCTCTGTGGCGTGTGACCTATAAAGAGCGAGCGAGAGTGAGAGAGGCGCAGGCAGTGGGGCTGTTTTATTGTGTCAGGATATCATGTTTATGGGTGAAGGGAAAACACACTCCCTTCAGTGTTACTCTCACAAATACAGAGCTAAGCAACCTGGTGAATTCTCAGTTGCTATGGCAACTCTGTACTGGAGGCCATAACTATATTAGTATAATGCAATTTCACCAATCAGAGGAAATAAAAAAGGGAAAAAAAAAAAAAACACGGATGCATTAAAAGCAAAACCTGCTTTTTTTGCAATGGAAAAAAAACAATTTACAGGCTTGTGCTTAATAAGTGAGAATATTTTGGAAGAGAGATTTCAAATGCACTCTCTTTTTTGTGCTCCAAAAGCCTGCTGCACACACACCAATCCTGCAGGGAGTGGTGCCTGTCTTGCTATAGTTAAGCAGAGCATGACACTCTGTACTGTGGCATGCTGAACGAAGGAGTCCAGCTTTGTTTGAGCTAAAATGGCCCAAACAAAAGGGTCGTCAAGCAGGTTGCCAAGGGGCTGACGAGAGCCAGATCACCTGGGAATTTAACTGGGAATCCACACCACCGTGTGGGCTGAAGAAGAGCTGACAACAATAACTGATTCTTCCCTTCCTGTTATGCAGCCTTAAATTAAAGTTCAATCTGTCACTATGCAGTAGTCAGGTACACACCTAGGATCAGACTTTGCCATTAAAATATTACTCAGGATAGTTAATCATCAAACAAATCTCAAATGGTACAAAGCTGTTTTGGCTTGAGAAAAGAAACTGCATGGACTGCACACGTCGCTGGCCTGTGCAGTGTGTCACGAAGGGAGAACTCAGCCCTCACATACTGCTGGGTGGTACTGACAACATCATGATATTTTCCACATCCATCACAACATTCCTAGCGCTGATAATATTTAAAGGGTTATTCTGCTAATTTTTAGAAATTTATTGATTATATGGTTCAGACGTGCACCAAGTCATTCAAAGTGGTTTGATGTGAAATACTCCATTCTTGAGAATCTTGCATAGTCAGAATTGTTCATAGAGGTGATGGCAGCAACCAGACTGAAGAGTTTAATGCCCCTAAAAGCTCCATCTTGAAAAATTATTACTTTTACATGTATTGTGTGTATTATCGCGTTATGCACAATTATTATGGTTTTGAACATAAGTCTGATGCCTGAGAATGTTTAACGATGAGTTTGAGGTGACGTTTAGGCCTAAAGTCCATTTTTACACAGCAGGTTTAAAATAATAATAATAATAATAATAAATAAATTTTTTTAAAAAAGTGTACGGTTTCAGATTTACCACTATTTTACCAATATCAACATGTATAAACACAATAAATAAAAACTCAGAAGAAAGGTGTGGACTTACTGGTGATTTTGGATAGCAAATAAAATTGTTGTTTTTGTCTTGTTGATATTGTAACCCCTGGGTTCCCATCACAACACACTCTGATTTCTTCACAGTGGTAAAATGTTTCTGCAGAATGGGGAGTTTCACATCAAACCATTCTGAATGACTCTGTTTATACCCAAATGACTGAACTATGCAGAGATTTTGATAAATCAGTGGAATCCCCCTCGATGGAAAGTCTGCATTTTCAAAGTTAACGGACCCATGCCGATTCTCTATGCTAAAAAAATGTCTTACAGCATAACACTACATTTGACAGGACTGTTTTGTTCTGCTTTTCTTCAATTCACACCAAAGAAAACTTACACAATGTTGTGAATGTTGTACAGAAACCAATGTTTCAAAAAGGAGGCTTACCACAGTTTTTAATGTGTTTTTGAACGATCTCAAACAACTGCAAATAACAAACAATTCAGTTAAAATTTCACAGATTGATCAAAATCTTTGCACTTTTCAGTGTCGAGATGTAAACCAAATCATTCAGACTGGTCTGATGTAAAATGGTGCACTGTAGTGAAATTTACTGATTTCTTTACAGCAGTGGTTGTACTAGGGGTTATGACACACAAATATAGCCGTTTTACTTACTATCTAAAACCACCAGTGAACCTACAGGTCTGTAGCTTTTACAGGTAATGTTGATAACGATAAAATACTGAAAAAATATAAGCTACAATGTCCCGCATGTACTACTCTGCTACAAACGAATTAAAAAAAAAAAACTTTTCAAGCCAAAAGCTCATCACAAAAACAAAACAATGTCTACTGGTATACCGGTGTAGACGAAATATCACCAAGCACTATCCTCACTATTCCACCCAACACTTCTTGCTGGGAATCTTAAAGGATTTTGTATGCGACTGAGTTGGCCAGCTTGGTGAGGAGACACAATGGGAGAGGATCGTAATGGGCTGAGGGTCTGAGTGGTCTCCACCCAGTAATTGCCCCATCTGTACACTAGCCGAAAGCCCTCGAGGACATATGCACTTACTGGTACTGCTACTGCATAGCTTGCCAGCATTTACTGTTGTTCACTACTAAATGTGTCATAAATACCTGCCCGGCTTCCGAAGAAGTGCGGGGTTCTGAGGCAACTTGTACAAGTTATAGACTGCCCGTTTTGTTTTCGGTATTGGTTTGGGGGAGGCAGGGGTGATACAACGTGTAAATGACTGACAGAAGCCGTAACAGTGGATCATCTTTCACAGGGCCTGTTGAGGGGCTGGCAGGCCAAAGCCGTTAGATCCCACTGTAAGGGCCAGTGCTGTGGGCCTGTTCTGCCTGGGTCAATATTTGGAATGGCAGGGACGGACGCTCTGCATTAGGGAGGATTAGGGCGGGACGACCCCTGGCAGCTTTGCACCTCAGAACTGGGGGAAGTGCGCGTGGGAGTGTGTGTGTTTAGCTGCAAACAGTCAAGCAGCAGTTGCAAACAGTTTGGAAACGATTCAAGTATTTACGACAATGAATCCTTGCTCTATGCACCGTAGAGAGCCCAGACAGGTTCTTACAACTACAACTAAGCAACTCTACCAGATCCCTTCCAGCTTTAGAAACTAACCACAGAAAAAGCGAGTTGCCTGGTGTCTACATAGCAGTCATTAAGCAACACACTGTGTAAAGGAAAAGCTTTGAGTGTAAAAGGAAGTAGGCTATGTGTCAATACACTCTCTCCCTCACACCCGTCCGCACACACAGTGTGTGCCATGAGCATCGGGCCGCTCCATATTAAAGTGCCCTGAGGAATAGGAGCTAAGCGCATTTGAGAGCATTTAGGGAGCCTGAGGGAAGAATGTTTCCCCAGCTTTACTTCATTATCCCGCATTAGGAGAACACATCGTTTGGGGGTGGGGGGTGGGGGGGAGAGAAGCACCCCTTCTCAGTACAACACCACTTAATACATGATATCATTTCACGCTCTGCTGTGCTTAATGGGGACAGAGTCTGAGGCTTGACAGCTCCACAGGCTGGAGATTACACAGGTTTGTGTGGTATGAGGCAGGCGGAGAGGCAGCCAGCTTAATAAGGACAAAGGCACACTGACTGGCCCTCTAATTAAAAGGAGAGATGGCTCGTGGCCCTGCATACTACACACCCCAGCCACGCAGGCCGGTAGAAAAGCAATCTTGATGTAAGACCATGGCTGGCAGGGTGCCACAAGCAAAGGTCGGGGCATGACTATGTGTGCGTGTGTAAGAATGTGCTTAAGCAATATAGGAGATGTCCCTGTTTACGGGAAAGAGCCTCCAGCTAACCATGGCAGACATTGCTAAGCTAAAGAAAGAGTGTCTTAGACATGGCGAATCGTTCCAATGACAAAGCAAACAATGGACATTCCAGAAACGGTTTCAGATATTTTCCACCAACCTACACAGATAATGAATAGTCAGCAGCTGACTTTCCTTAAGAAAAAGCAGACAAGCAAAAAAGAAACCAAAACCATGAAAATATTTTAAACAGACTATGATCTCTTGACTACAGGTACTGAAGGAACTGAAGTATTAGCTCTTTGCTTAATTGCCTGTATTCTCACAAAAGATGAAATAGGCTGTTCATTTTCTTAGTGCTACAGAATCTAAACAACTAGGGCCTATAATATATAAATGTTCAACCAATGCTTCAAGCTAAAATGTTCATTTAATTTCTGAGGAACAGCTGATATTTGAATAGGCAGGTGTTTTATTCAACATGTCAATCTTTTTTGAATTGTATGCATAAAAGTGCAAGAGTGTAACTTGTTCTGGTAGCCAGGCTTCTGGAGTTGTACATCACTTCTTAATAATTCTACTTAACTTTAGCTGGTAGGACCAGAGCAATTGATCAAGGGATACAGAAGAGATTAAACCTCAAATATAGTTTACACTTTATTATTAAGTAGTTTGTTGAGTAGCTACAGATCACAGTACTATGATGAAAAGTCATACCCTCTACTCCGAGTCACTGGCCAAAAATCAACTGTGACACCCAGATGTGTTGCAGTCGAAGACTGAACCCTGCACAGGTGGATATGTTGGCATTTCTCAACAAAAATGGATACTGCTTCTGTTGTGTGCAGCCATAAGCTATAGGCAGTCTATATAGTTAGACAAAGGAGAAAAAAAAAAACTAAAAAGCTGCAAGCTACTGACTTTATATTACTTGTTGTTAAAACTATGTATAAGAACTTCAAACTAGCTCAAGTCAGGTCATACATGCTCGTTAACTTGGGCTAATAATATATGGTACGTATAAGTAGTAGTCAAGTAAGCAGACAAGTAAGTAGACAACATTACATTCCTGTCATATCTTTTAAATTGGGCTGCATTTTTCATTCAATAAAGCCTAAAGCCTTGTTTATGTAAAGCACAGTGCTATATTTGATGTTTTCATGGGTTGTGTCTTTGATTTTTTGGTTTGTCGGTTAACAATTAATCACCAACTAATAATGATCATTATCAGTCAAAAGAATTTACCAAAATTCACATTCCTAATACAAGGACAACTAAATGTAGATCTAGTTCCCCTGGTTTCCTTCAAGGGGACTTGTCATGCACAGCATATTTTTAAATCAAGGTTTAGGTGCTGAAATACACCAGACTACTTCAATTCCAAGAAATCATTAAAAAGTATAGATCACTACAGTCATCTTGTGCAAGTGCAGTGAAGTTCATGTTTCCGTCTATGAGTTATACCACAACTTCCATTTAGGTTCATTCCCGGTACAACAGTCATGAAGGCATGGTCTTTTATGGTAGCCTGCCTTAACCACAGCAAACAGCCAACAATAGACTTGAAACTGTCATATGGTTACAAAGATCAAAAACTGTCACAGCAACATTGAATTACTATCCTTTTGGCAAAACAATAAACTTGCAGCTCAGGTTATGTGCTACATATTTAGAGGAGATTATGGGATTTCTTCAAAATCTCACTGACAGTGTAAGATAAAGCACTGGATGCTCTGCTATAGCAACAGCACTGTCAGTCACTAGAATTTTACTGTTAATATTTGGGAAAATAAAACAAAATTCACATGTGCACTTCATACACATTTTAACAGCCACAGAAAACATGGTAGATAGTGTAAACTGAGCGCACAAAAATGCACCTTTATCAACACTGCAGTATATAATTTCAGTTAAATAGCTTAAAGATGTGCATGTGAAGAGCCAAGGACACAAGACATCACAGTCTCTTATGTGGTCTCTCCAACTATTTAGCATATCAGCCACCACTGCTGTCTTATTCAAATAAATCCCTAAACTCAGCCTCAGAAACGTGCACAAAAGGCACTCGAAGCGCACACCTGTAAAACAGCACAGAGCTTTTTTCTTTCAGTTGTGTTATCTTAATGGCAAAAAACGTTTGGCAAAAAACAACAGCAGCTGAATTTGATCTGGTGTGACCCCATCCAAAATGGCAGCCCACGTTATCTTGTGAGAAGCCATTTTGTGCATTTAGAGTGGGTGTAAAAGTGAAGGATGTGTGGTTTTACCTGCATTCTCTGAGAGATAGGAGTAGTCCTCTCGGGTGAAGGAAGCGGACGGTTGAATGAACATGCCCTCGTCAAAGCCTTCTTCTGGTTCGGGCGGGATGTTATAGACGAAGCGTCTGGCGATCTGCTTTTTCCGTCTGCCACTGCCTGGCTCTGGTCGCTCCTCCGGCTCTGGCCGTTCCTCCCTCTTCACCGCAGCTCCAGCACCCGGGGCTGGTTCGTTCCAGACGAACACCGGCCCAGGGCCCTGGGGCTCCGTCTGTGTGGATTCGGAGGAGTTATCTCCTCCCCAGCCCGAGCTGCCCAACGCGCAGCCCTCCCCCGCAGACACAGCCACGTCGCTGGGCTCCTCCTTCACCTGTCCGCTGGCCTTAATGGACAGTTTGGACAGGATACTAGTGGCCCAGAAGTTGCTGGGCTTCTTGTCAGCACCCTGGCTGTCCTTTGGCACAGTCCTCCGCTTGTTGTAGTCCACCACCACGGAGTCGGGAGCCTCCTGCTTGATGCTGATGTTTAGGGCATCTTTGATGAAGGCGCGGCACGACTGCACCACTTCGGTCATCTGCAGGTAGCTGGCCACGGACATCACCTCTATGGCATTCTGGCTGGTCAGCAGCAGGTTGCCAGAGTACAGGAAGTCTAGGATAACGGAGAAACCCTGCACGGCCGCCACATCTAGGTGTGTAATGGTGGTTTGGTCACAGCTCTCACTCTTGGTCAGGCAATAAAGGGTCTTGAAGTAGCGGCTGCCCGCAACCAGTATGTTCTTGTGCGCCCTGAACACCTGGCCGCCCACCACGATGTTGACATCACAGAGGATGCCGCTCTTGCGCTGCTTGTCCAGCTCCTGGAGCAGCTGGTAGCAGTAGGAGTTCTCATTTGGCCTGTTCCTGTAGTCCTCGACCTCTGTGCCCTCATTGTCCTCTGGCCTCTCTGTCTCCTAGTGGAGGTGCATACACACAAAAAAATAAACACAAGAAGACAAACAGTATTAGTGCATAGTGTAAACTCAAGGTGGTGGGTATATGGTGACACCACCACAACAGCAGAACTGGTTTGACCAGCTCTCAAGCTGCAGCATTGTGGGAACTGTATATAACTGAAACCCCCCCACTCAAACACAAACTGTATCACAAGACACACCCTACGCAAACCATTCCACTCGCTCAGCTAAAGCTCTTTAAGCTGAAAGATTCACTGGGCCAACACCCTCTCTCTACACCAGACTTTACTGCTGATGAGACTTCACTCTGCCTGCAAGATGGAGAAAAAAAAGAAGCAGAACAGACTGGTACCTATCAGAGGGAGTACACGTACGTGCTACATTTCTGGATTGCAAAGCAGATGTCCTAATCCACGAAGTCATTTATACCACTCAGGCCCAGCATTTTTCCCCTCCTACCACACAGCTGTGTTTTTTGCTCGAGTAATTCAGATTAAATCCATTTCTCAGGGGCGGAGGCCTTCCCAGCCCCCTCCTCCACACTGCAGCCCTTGTCCGGGTAGAAGGGGTTTATTACTGTAGCGTGGCTCCAGCGGCAGCCAGCCTAACCAGTGGACAGAGAGAGAAGAGATAGAGGGCAACCCCATTTCTCCACACAATGCCAGCCCTTTCCTTCAGGCTCATTGTTCAGTGTAGTTTTTGTGCTACACTGAGGCTTTGTGCTGCTTGCACTCAGCTCCTTGTGCTATAGCACACATCCAAAAAGATGTGCAAAAGGTTTACCCATATCTGTACAGAATAATTTTGTTTATTGGGCAACCAAATATAGACAATGTTACGATGCATTTACATAAGAACAGAATCTTGAAGAACACAACGGGGCAGATGGTGACAGGTTTGAGTCAATAGGGGGATGTGGACGAGAAGGGGTTGATATGGGAATGGTTGTCAGTTTGTGGTGTCATATTGTTCTCCATTGTTTCCCTGCTTTGCCTCAAGCAACTGTTTGTTTCGGGGAGAGGCTTTGACACCGTGCCTAGCCATGCTGTGGTAAGAGGGACAGAAGTGGTGTCAGTCAACATACTTAGCAGGAAAGAACACACTGGTCCAAAATTCACTTCTCCACACCATCTCTCAGCCTCTGCTCATCCTTTCTCCAGATGTGCCACGTGTTAACATGGAGCTGGAGAACAGATGCTTTCAGAGGAGCCCCAACACTAGCTGTCCAAATGAGGCTGTGGTGACAGTCGACTTTTGACGTGGCTCTTTTTCCAAGGACAAGTACTGAAAGAGGAAAGACTGGAAAAATCTAAATGAGGCAGGCAGCCTTAATAAACTGGGCCTGAATTGTAAAATAGCATTGAAATTATAAACAACTACTATAGCAGATTTAGTTGCAAACTAGGAGTGCTATTTGAGGGGAAAAAAAGAAGGAAAAAACAAAACAAAAAAAGACCCTTTCTCATAAAGCACGTCACATATGAAAACCACAGTGGTTTCTCTCTTTCTGGTTTCACACCTCAGACTTTCGGTTTGATGTGGAACAGGAACACAATACAACCACCACCACTAATACTGCAACCCCCCCCACCCCCCCAGGTTTGCTTCTCAGCACTATGTTAGAGACCTGTTACCACGTTATCCAGCATCTCATTGTAAAATCAAAAATGTCTCGGACTGTAAACAAACACACCCGTCCGAAATTTAAACCATCGCAGACTCATTTACCTGTCAACTCAGAATGTATATTAGACATGTGGTTAATCAAACTGATGTTCTCTTGCTCTGTGTGCATTTGTAAGTATGTATAGTATGTATTCATGTTTCATGTTCATCTGCTACCGTTACACCCGCTGGAGATCAATAATGAACATCTATCTTCTTATCTATCAAAGGAACCCAAATTGTCCCCAAGACTGCAGGGACAGCAGTTTTGTTTTCCTTGTGCATACCCTACCCAGGGCCAGCCTACCCCTCAGGCCAGAGCCGTGTCCCCTCACCCAGCCCGTCTCACAGATGCTTGAACAATGTAGCAGTGTGCTTGACCCAAGGTGTGGGTGGAGAACACCAGGCTCTGGGCCTCCCAACAATGTGGAGAGCTCATCGATGGAGAATTCCACAGAGTTCTTCCCCCCAATACACATAGGCCTACATTTCACAAGGGGCGGACAGAGGATGGGTGGAGCCACTGTCTCCTCTAAAGCCTGTCTTACAAGAGAAGCGAGGGATGGCAACTTTGAGGACAATGGCCAGACCCAAGAGTGAAGCAACCCAGATACCCCCTATTTGGTTAATTGAGTTATGGTCACTGCTAGACTGAACCAGATCTGGATAAGCAAAGAAATTTAGCCTATTGTCTGAGACATCACTGATCTGTATAACAGGCCACAATTATAAAACTCACTCACAGCCCTGCTGAAGAGACACCCTAACATATTATTTTTTCCAGAAAAAGATATCCTACACACTATTCTGTACTAATTTATCCCCCTTTGATAACATAGTATTAGTCCACCTTTCCTACAGCAGTCTGAATTGACATCAGCCTTTTTGGCCTACTATACAAAGAAAAAGTAAATATTAAAGCCAGGAGTAACTGGAGAAGTGATGAGAAAACCCAGCAGAGCAAAAGAAGTAGTGTCATGGCTGATACTAATCTAAAACCGCGTCTTAACCCCTCTGTTGCTAGGGAGGAGCCCGTAATCCCTCCTACTGCTTTCCTGCCTAATTAGTGAAGGGTATAAATTGAGTTACTGGAACGCTTTAAGTCATCCTGATTAGTATGAACAACTGGCTGCACTTGCAATGCTATCCCCCCCGGGATTTTATTAACAAACAAGTCAAATTCAGCACGGTCATACTGTCAGAGGCTCTAATAGCAAACATAAACGTAACACTCTTCAATCTGTAAACAGACAAGCCTTTCAAAGAGCACGGCCATCAGATCTTAAAACATTTATTCACAATATCCAGCAGGGTTTTAAGAATAACAGTCTTAACGAGGCCACAGATTAAAGATTCATTACATAGCATTAAGGCTCATGACAGATCCAAATGTCTGCTCTGAAAATGATTACAGCACACTATTGATCCAAGTTGCCTTCAGAGTGTGGGGGTAAAACGATCAGGTCAGAAGGTCATATGCTAAATTTATTTATACTCGCGCTCATAGTGTTCAGCCAGGTGGATACCAAATAGTAAGCATAGCTGTCATAGGACACTTGATTTAGTGGTACTTCTAGCCAAATTGAGCCAGCCATGGATCTTGGAGATCCATCTAAAACAATGGCTCTGATTTAGGTGCCCTAAAGGGGAAGATGAGATGTGCCAGAGGTCACTTTTACAACGAGGCAGCAGAGGAGGGGGTAGGGTTGGGCTGGGCTGTGACTCCCCAAAGCCTGCTGGTCAAGCTCCTGCCATCATGACCTCCCTGGCAATCAACTCACGTTGCCAAGGCAACTAAGGTTGATAATTGCAGTGCAATACATGCATGAAGTAAACAGGTCTAATACAAAAGAAGGGGAAGCACGCTCACCCTGAGCTCTCGACTAAAGTGGTTGCACTCAAAACCTCATAATTCAGTCATGTACACCTTTAAACATTTTGGAAATAGACTTATACATGTTTCAAAACATTAGCAAGCGCCTGTGACTGTTGAAGACAACATCTATGTCCCTTCAGATAAGAAACAGCTATCATACCTTAGTTAAAAAGTCTGGAGGACAATATCAATGTTCATACGGTTAAGCTGTCACTCTTACGGTTAAAATGTCCTTAGACAATCAGACATCTTACCCAGACAGTGAAAATTCACATAGCTCAACCTTCTTTAAGTGTTTTACCGAAATTAGTATCAAGTAACTACAGTACTGTCAGTGCTACTAACCCTTCTCACAAATGGTTTGGGTCGTTAGCGTAATACAATTTCTACGTATCCATAAACATACAGAGAACGTATTAAATCTGTACAACACTAAGAAACCACGACGTAAACGAATCGCTGAAAAGTGTCACTAATACAGTATTAAAGATACTAGCTACCTAGCTCGACAGTATTGTGAGCTAGTTAACATAGCTTATATGCTAAAACACTTTAGCAACGTTTCCCTTCAGAAGCGGCAAGCCAGTTAGCTTAGCAGGCTAACCTTGCTAGCTAACGAACTAGCAGAGCCGTTAGCGCGATATTTTTGTCGAGGAACTGAACAGCACTGAAAACGTTAATAATGCGACTTATTTTCGATAATGAAATGAAGCTCTCGTCATGGTTTCATAAGAATACACACTCTGCAGTAACCTGGTGGTGGTGACAAGCACAAACTCTGAGCGAGGTGTTCGTCTGGTGTAACTTTACCTGTTTGGTCGGGTCGTTCCTGCCGTGCTCCGAGGACAGGTGATGTCTGAGAAGCAAGGCCCGCTTGTAGTTTCGGCTGCCTTTGACCAGCTCATCGCTGTTGAAAGTGGCAATGTTGTGACACCAAGAGCAAGACATGAGTCCCGTCTCTCGGCTAAATTTCAGCCAGGGAAACTCCTGCAGCCAGGAGGCTTGGAAAAACGAGTGTTTCTGAAGCAGCGTCTGAGGTCTCATCTCTACCCAGGTTTTCCTGGCACCCGTCTCCTCCCGCTCCCCGCCGCTCCCTGTTTCGCCTCGGTCTCGGTCGTCCTCGGATCCCGTGGCGCCGCTGCCCGCGCCGTCCTCGCTGTTCACGCCGTTGCCGGCCGTCCAGCTATCGCCCTCCTCCCCCGCGACTGTAGTGGCCGTCCAGCCGATGCTGTCAACGTCTTTCCCGGCTGTCCATCGACCCCCTTCCGGATCTTCCTCCTCCTCTGCCTCCGGCTCTGTGCTGTCGCTGACGGACCCCCCGCCCTCCACTTTTACCAGCGACGGTCCTTTCGCCCCCAGATCCCTGTCCTCCTCTTGATCCGGCCTGGTCCCGTTTAAATGCCGATCTTGCCAGGCCTGGGCCTCCCAGCTGTTACCGTTGCTGCCTCGGACACCACTGGAGCCGGTCGGGGCTGATCCACCTCCTCGGAAAGCCAGCGACCTGCGGTTTCGTTCTCCGGACATTTTTCTTTAATAGCGTTAAATTACAATCTACTTTCCCAACGATTTATGTATATATTTTTTTCCAAACGGCTAATTACGATTACGAGAAATCGTTGTCTAAAATGAAATATTCCGCATCGAAATGTTGGGTTTTTTGCGCTTTGGCCTCCCGGAGAGAGTATGTAGGTTATGCGGAAATAAATAAGGGTTTTAAAGGCATAATGAATTTGAGGGTTTCTGGCTCCGTCCGCGCAGGCCCCGCAGAGGTCGAATGGCAACGACTTTCCCCACAATGCACCTCGCTTCGAGTGAGGGGGGTCGTGGGGCACTTTTAAAGGAGGATGGGGGGGTGACTGGAACAGCGAGGGGGGCATTTGTGTTCGGAGGCTGCACCCACCTCTCCCTCCCTAAACGCACTTTTCATCTCTGGGAGTCGCTTGTCTTGAGCTAATAAGTCTGCCGTCCGCCGGGGAGCGGCATCATAAACACAGCGCGAAAACACACAGAGGGCAGAGAAAAGCAGAAGAACAGGTGAAGGAGAGCAAAGACAAAGCCCAGTGTTTAGGTGCGTTAATTACTGGTGGTGACGGCAGTGGGGAGGGGGGGCAGGGGGCTGGCTTGTTTTCAATAACACAGTCCATATATATATAATATATACACATTCTTTTTCTTATATATATATATATATATATATATATATATATATATATATATATATATGTATGTATGTGTATTATACAGCTGAAAAGGTGTTAATAAGTAATATGTGTAATGGGTAGGGAATATGTTGTGTTAATAATTTCAATATATATGAATACATTGTGTATCATAATAAATGAGTCATTAGGTGATTTTTTCTTTTTTATTTGTTTATTTATTTACACATGTAATGTATGTATGTTTCAATGTATATTTAATAAATAAATTAATTAACATGTCTGCTAGCACAAGATTTTTTTTTTTAACTGTCAGGTATGGATTCGTTCAGTGTGTCACCCAGCAGGTGTCGTCCTTTCCTCTGTACAGCACCATCTCGGTTACAGCTGCGGTCACTTCTCTAATGACAGACGCCGTGTCCACTCAGGGTCCTGCTGAGACTGCCGTGTGGACAAGTCCACAATAGTAGCTACTTTCTACTAGGCTGCCTAATAAAGTCAATGATTTTTACTGATTTGTAATGAGTTTAAACTGCACTAACTTCACTGTTTTCAAACAAATAAAAACAACGGTGCATATTAATGTATAAAAATATCTATATTATGACACTAATAATGTACAACAACAGATTTTAACTGATTAGAATGATGAACAGAGCTGGAGATTATTCCCTAATGATTAAGTGTGTACATATATAGAGAGAAAGAGGGAGGGGAGCGCAAAATTGGTAAGTTATGAGTTTTGGAGTTTGTAGAGGATCAATCAAAGAGGATCAGAGTTTCATAGAGGACAGAGTTTAAGCTGTAGTTATTTCCGTGCTCTAGCGCCACCTATTGACCAAAGTCCATCGAAATCTATATACCGACTCAACCACATCCTGCACCCGTTTCAGGTTTGATAAGGACTGAAGGAAGCGCTGGGCGCTCAGATCGCCCCCCTCTCTAACTCTATCTCTGCGTCTCTGTCTTGGTCTCTTTCTATCTCTGTTTTTCAGCCTTGCCCACTAAACGTTTTGGGGTGTGGCTGCTATGTTGTAACGACAGGTCAAAAATGTTAAGATAAGGATTACAGACTCTGGTGAATAGCTTGACCTTACAGCTTAAAGGGCAATACTGCCGATTTTTAGAAATCTCTGCATAATTCAGGGGTTGAGATGTAAACAAAGTCGTTTAATGTGAAATGGTTTAATGTAAACACAGCCAGTCAGATTTCTGTACAGTGGTGGTGAAAGGAGCCTGAGGTTGTGTTGTCTACAACGCACACATGGCCATTTTATTTACTATCCAAAATGACCAGTGAACCCACACGTCTTCTGAGTTTCTATATGTAATGTTGATAAAATAGTAGTAATGTTATCTGGGGGCTACTTTGCCGAAATAAAAAATGGGTTTTAGGCCAAAACCTTTTCTCAGTACTATAATAAAACAGTGTATCGGTCAGCAGCGTATTTGTAATCATATCGTGTGACAGCCTTCTGTGATGTAGCTTGAAATAAATTACTTCAGACGTCTGGTTCCTACGGAGCCCCTAAGGTGCCGTGGTTAAAAAACAGTAATGGCATTGCGTTCCCTCGCAAACATGTTGCATTCGCTGGAAAATGTTTTGGTTCCCTCCTAATCATTTTTGTGAGGGAATGCAAAACATTTTACGAGGGAACGCAATGCCTTTTGCAATTTTTTTCCTGCAAAGGCAGTTTTGGGCTCTCTGTAGGTTCCCGTCATCGCCTCTGTGAATAAATGATTTCATTTTGAAGACATTTTGAAAAGTCGGTGGAATTCCCCTGTAAGTACTTTCTTTAAAATGTATTTAATATTTAAAAATACATTAAATTAAACACTTTTTTTGGCTAACCGCTTCAACCGCTTTAAAGCTACGCGCTTTCCCACACGCAGACGCCCAGCTCTCTCCGTGACCACGTGCCAGTTTCGTTTTGTTTACATGCGTGCGCGCTGTGCGCGATGACGTAACGCGCGGCCCCACCTCACCACTTTGCAGCGCGTGAAGCTCCAAACTAACCCCGAGTGGATAAGCGACTCAGCAGAGGAGTGAAATAACCTCCAACATTCAGGAGTTCACAGCAGCATGGAGGAGTCCGACCAAGGTAACTCAGACAGAAGTTCGTTTCTCAGACTCTCTGTGTGCAGCTCATGTTCCACAGCTGGAGAGGAACTGTTGTTACCGTCTGTTTGTTTCTCTCTGAAGTTAGCTCAGCTGTGGTTAGCTAGCTAAGTCTTAGCCATTCCTGGCTAACATTCATTTGGACTGCTGAGGATGATTAAATATATCTAAAAGTGCGCCTGTTCCCCATAGACAGTCATGCCTTTTGTTTTGGTGTCTTACTCGTTGATGGAAGCTTTTTGCGTCATTGTTCAACTGCAGAATCAACTAATCAACAAAGGAAGGAAGTTTCTAAACTCTGCCTGTTTGACACCAGACTTGAACGTGAGGGCAAATAATGATAAGCTTTTAGAGAATGAACCAAATATTTCACATTGTATGAAGCAGGTAACTGATACTTTGTTAGATTTGTCTGTTTAAATCTTTCTGGCATTTTTCTGCCGTCCCGATGTGCTGATTTGCTTACATGTTAAACCATATGTTTTATCACCCCCAATAGTTAAACCATTTTTTCAATTAATTCACTAATCCAGTCTCATTCACTGGTTTATCATGTCGGTATAAAACAACTTTTAGGTGGCACTCCTACTAAACTACAACTGAAATACATATAAGTATAAAGAAATCAAGGAATTAATCTTTTTTTCCATTAATATGAGCTCAGACTGAACATACCCATCTGTGGGCGTGGCTTGAATCTCAAGTGTTTTAGCTTTTTTTTGTTGTTAAATAATTCTGATTAGATTGCATATACTGATTCACTAGCCACTGAGTAGACCATAAGGAATACAAGTAACATAGGTTTGATTTGGGTGATCTATGTTTAGTGCTTGGTCACGTTATCATCGCTAACGACCAAATGTCAGGTGCTGTCTGGGATATAATGGGCTTAGAGATGTTTAGATTTAAGTAGATTTGTTCTCCTGCAGTAATATGTTCTTTTAAGACTCTTTTCCCTATACAGCTGCACTCACTCCAAAATAAAACATATTAATCACAGAATATTATTTATTGGTGAGATTTTGAGAGATTAATCCTTGAAATTCTGGCATTTGGTCCCATTTTTTCTCACTTGAATGAAACTCTGACTCTCTGGACCACATATTGCTTCCTTTAGTCTTCTTTATTGTAACTGTACTGTAAGCAGGCACATTTCTGAAGTATGCTGATTTATAAACACTTTATTAAATGCTTTCCATGATTTGGTAGAATTATCACTGATTTTGCATTCACAAAAACTTTAATAGTAGCTTTTGATCTGAATTCATTTTTACAGCATAAATGTTGACTAAAATCATTGCACTCAGATATTTTAGTTTTTAAATGTGGCACTGCTGTTGTGCTGGTGCATTGTGATTTTTTCTGAATGACTCTGCAAATATCGTTTTGTGCCTGTTCATTCCTGATTTTTGGCATAAAACTCATTGATTTTTAGATTTGTTAAAAGGCGATATACTTTTCTTGTTATTAGAAGGATTTTGCATTTTGTGTTGAATTGCGTGAGCATTTGCTGAAACCTGTTTGGCACTCTGTGGTCTGCTGCACTTCATGGGAGCTGAATTTGTCAAAAATAAACAGCTCAGGGACAGAGATTGCTGTTTCATGTGGAAAGAAGAGAAAGAAGTTTAGCAGAAGGTAACCAAGGTAATTAAGAAGGATGATCTGAGTCTTTATTTCAAGCCTAGTGATGCATTTAGCCTATTCAGTGCCTGAAGAGGTAGTCTGTTCATCGTTGAGCACAAGCCAGCTGCAACCTGCATGGTCTATGAGGGACAGGTAGATATCTCTTTTATTGTTAGTAATGCTGTATATATCATCTAGACAGGTACAGGTGTTGGTGTCACTCAGCGATACTAATTTGTGTAGGTAATCTGTGCAGGGCTCCCTTTTGTGTAATTTTAATGAAGAACAGTCCAGACAACAGTCCAGTCAAAACAAGCTGTGTCAGATTTGTAAGATATTCCTTTAGCACAGAGTAGCAGAACTAGCAGTACCAGTACTGGCTTGGTGAAGATAGTGGCGCTACTCCAACATGTATTAATTTCAGAACTCTTTCATTTTATTTATCTTGTTTTAGTCATTCCTGCAGTTTGGACTATACCTTGGACTAGGTATAATCTTTCTGTCAGAAGAGATTTGTTTATGGAGAAATACTAATATCGTCAGCAAGAGTCACTCTCAGCATGTTGTATTAGTCTCCTTTTAACCTTCTTTCTACCTCACCCTACTCCTCGCTCCTCAGGAGCCTGCTTGTCATCATTCCTCCTCAGTGGTGGAGGTTCGATGAGCAGCCAGAGCCTTCCTGTGCAGCTCTCTCAGCCCCTCCCTCATCTCTGTCATGCAGGGAAGCCATCTGCCGATTCCTCATTGTTGCTTACTGCCATCTCATTGCAGCTGGTGCAAAAGGACCACTGAGTTATTTTAAGAGCAGATTGCAGGATGGAGGCAGAGGCACCTAT